CGGTCGGTAATGTAGAGTGCTCGGTCGGCAATGTAGAGTGCTCGGTCTATAATGCAGTTTCATATACATTAACTAGAAATTATTTCATGCTTTTCATTGCATTTTCATATACTTTTAAACAATTATATCTAGAGCTAGTGCGTATTTATATAAATTAATTAGAAATTATTTCATACTTTGTTCTGTCGGTAATGTAGAGTGCTCGGTCGGTAATGCAGATTGCTCTGTCGGTAATGTAGAGTGCTCGGTCGATAATGTAGATTGTTTGGTCGGTAATGTAGAGTGCTCGGTCGATAATGTAGATTGCTCCGTCGGTAATGTAGAGTGCTCGGTCGGTAATGCAGATTGCTCTGTCGACAATGCAGAGTGCTTGGTCGGTAATATGGAGTGTTCGGTCGGTAATGTAGATTGCTCCGTATATATATTTTTTTTTTTTTAAGGTATGTTCACCGATTACGCCGAAATGGCTTGACCAATCAGAATGAAACCTGTTGCATTTTATAAAGCATGTCCTCCCGGTGGTCTCGCTATGAAGAATTTTTTCGATTGTTTCATTTTTTACCCGTTTTTTAAGCATAAACACGTACTTTTTCTTATAATATCATGTACACTGGGTGTAGGAAGTATTCGTACAATGATTAGTTTCCCAAAGAAGCTATGTAAAATTGTAATTTATCAACTGATTTTTTAAAAACATTGACATTCTACATATTCTCGGAAATGTCTAGGATAGATAGATTACAAAAAAAAAATAGCTATTTATGTAAGTTGCGAAATTAACAAGAAACAAACAATTAATCGATAGAAATGTTGAAGCAACAAGTATTTGCATAACTGTTTAATTTTTAAAAATTGATTTTAAAAAAAAAAAAATTTACTTTAATTCATAAGTAATTTACAATTTACAAGTATATAATATTTTCTTCGTGGAATTTTTTTTTGATTTTTCAATTATTGTAATTCCTGTAAGCATTCAATTAAATTATTAGTTATTCGTAGTGAGATCTTCTTCAATTCCTCTATTAGAGACACTTTTTAAAGTACTTTCCTGGAAATTTGATGTTTTCTAATTCGTACGAAGCAATAAACTAATGTGTTTACGTTACAAACTCTACTGTAAATGATTCGTCATAAGAATCGTACAAATACTTATTGCTTCTATACTTTTACCTACTTTTCGCATTTTTTTTGGTTAATTTCACAAATTATATTAACTAGTAAATGTTGTTTCGACTATATGTATTTTAGAAACTTTCGAGAATATGTAAAGTATCATTGATTATAAAAAAAGGAAGTTAAGAAACTACAATTTCACACAAAAGTTTTTTAGGAAATTGATCGGTGTTCGAATAAATTCTACATCCACTGTATATGCATTTTGTGCAATTTTTTTGAAGTCGTTAAAATTACTTTATATGCAGGTGTTATATATTATTTTGTAGCTTTTGGAAAGCTTTTCGTTCGTTCGTTGAAAATCTTAAATCTAAGGAAGCTTTTACATCGATTGCTTTGAAATTTGTATACAACGTTGCATTCGAATATACGTGTGTTTTTATGTACATTGCACCCGCGACAGGTAAAAAACACGCGTTTTTTGAAAAACCTACAAGCAAATTAACCCTTTGCACTCGAGATGCTTTCTTAGCATTCTATTGCCACGAATGCTAAGCTTTAGATTGTCTTCGAAAATGAGATCTTTAATTTGAGATTTGAAAATCAGGTCACCTTTGCATCAACGACAATCATTTTATTGGTAAGTTATTATTAACTTTCGAGTTCCAAAGAAATTAAACCTAAAGGAAACCTAGTAGTGACTAAGAGTCACCTCTCGAGTGCAAAAGGTTAAACGTATTAGAAGTGTGTGCTTTCTCTTTTCTTTCTTTCCCATTTAATCAGACCGAGCCACAGCAAATAATCATTCTGGTGATAAAAATACGAAATCGCTTTCCGAACAATCCAATACCTTCAAGGATTAAAGTATATCGAGTCTTTTCGCAAATAATGTCTCTGCATTTTCTAATTTTCGTCACCGTCTCGATAGCAAAAATACCATCGTAATGTTTCGGCGAACGTTCATTCGCAGAACGATGAAAACCTTTTTTATATCGTCCCTCCATTCTTGCAAGCCATACGCGCTGCCGATTTCCGCCTGAAAGAGACCATGACCGACCATGCTGGCCGCCAGTTTCGTCAGCGATTGTCTACCAGATCCACCCACGCCGACCATCAGCAGGCTACCGCAAGGGATCACCAGTATACGACAAACTCTCGCTAGATGTTCGAGGGCGTAACGAAACAGGACGATGTCCATCTTGTGCCTGTGCGTGAGATTGTAGTCCTCCAAGCAGGAGATCGCGACCTCCAAGTACTCGTCCATCGACTTCACCTCCTCGTATCGACGATCGACGGGAATCGTGTCGACGTCCATGAAGTTGCCGAATATGAGACTCTGCAGACTCTCCTCTGTCAAATGTTCGTCGAATTTCGGCAGGTAGTCGAACACCGTGTCGAACGACTCCTTCAGGATCCGATCGACTACCTCTTTGATCTTGAGGTAAAGCCAACGTCGGTCAGGCTTGTCGATCAATCGATCCCCAAAGACCCTCAGGATCTCGTGTACCCACAGCTTCGTGAAATCGGTCTTCGACTCGACGGACTCCTCTCTGATCATCGCGCAGCCGGTTATCGCGCGCGAGAAATCGCGCAAATTGAAGAGATAATGAGACTTTGTCGGCGTTGGTCTCAGCTCCATCTGAGCGTTTCTGTAGACGTTCATTGTGGCAGCCACGATCTCTATGATAGTAGGCATCACCGCCGTGGTGAAGCCGTTCCGTTGCAACCCTATGAACGCGATCGTAGTGAAGATTCTGACTATGGTGTCCTCTGAGAAGTTGCTGATACTGAACAAGTGGAAGTGTCTGAGAAACCTCTGGTACAGTTCCTGCCTACTTCCGCCGGGCGGTGCCATGGCGCATACGAACATCGTGTCGTACACGCGTATGATCTCTGGCTGTTTCAGATCGAACCAAAGCTTGTGATCGAAGAACTGACGCAGGAGCTCGATCGGTGGCTGGGAACCATACATCTCCTTCGCAGGCATGTTCACGTCGTCGATGAACACGACGCAGTGGGTACCGGGAAGTGGACCGAACTTGGTTCTGCGTCTCCTGTAGTTATGGAAATGTTATTTAATAGACAGTAGGTATAAATGTTAATTCGGTGGATTCGCATTCAATCATTTGCAGGGACAGGAGTGTTAGGAGGACTTATTGGAGGACAACATTTTTGTTGTGCTGTGTTGTACTGTATTATGGTGTGCTACACTCCCAGACAAAAAGATAGCACACCTGTGCTACCTTTAATATCTGGTGTTTAGATTATGCTAGCGTGAAAACTCTGAGATATATGTAAAACGTATTTTTTGCGAATATGTAAACATAACATAGATCGACTTTGCTTCGATGTAATTGACTTTACTTAGTTCGAAGAGAAACACATAATTCAACGCAGACAAAATGATAGCACGCTTAAAAAATAAAGATATATATTTCATATAACACCACCACCGCAACAAAAGTGCTATCATTTTGTCTGCGTCGGATTATGTATTTCTCTTCGAATTAAGGGAACTCATTGAAGTAAAGTTAATCTATGTTATGTTTACGTATTCGTAGAAGGTACATTTTATATGTAACTCAGAGTTTCCACGCTAGCATAATCTTAACACGAGATATCAAAGATAGCACACCTGTCTGGGAATGTACATCAAACCCTCTCAGACAGTATTTCCACGTAGACAGTATACATGGATACATTAACACTATTCAATATCTCTACCTACTCAGACAGTATTTTCATGTAGGTATTATATATGTATATTAACTTATATATATATATTAAATGTAGTATATGTATTAACTATATGCAATATTGCCGTCCCTCCCCCCGTCCCACCGTCCTCAAAACAAATACATGACAGTACCCTCTCAGACAGTACTTCCACGTAGACACTAACAGCATTCGATATTGTCTGCCCCACCAAAAATTAACTCAAACAGGAATTAAAATTTGTTAATTTTACACCGCCTTCGAAAAGGTTATTTGATATAATTTAATATAAAAGAAATAGCAACTATTTCACACTTTCAAACAATTACATCCAGAGCTGGCGAGTATTCGTATATGTTAACTAGACATTATTTCAAACTTTTCAGGACAGTTTTAATATCTTTCGAAGTCGGTTGTATTTCTTTTACAAAAATTATTTTATGTTATCCTGTGTTGTACTGTATTATACTACGGTCAGTGTAAGAAGTATTCGTACAGCAACCCATTTAAAATAAATGGTTCCTGTACGAGTATTTATTTACACTGACTGTATATTATATCGTTTTATGTTGATTTGCGTTGTATTGTGCTGTATTCTATTGCATTGTATTAGGTGTAGGCGTTTATTCTGTGCCTTCAAGTTCAATCATCTAGAAAGACACTTCTCGTACTTCTTACTAGAGGACAACCTTTTCGTTACGCTGTGTTATCCTGTATTATGATGTATTATACTACATTATGTTGTATTTTACTGTATTATGCTGTATTATATTGTGTCACATTGCGTTAAGCAGTGCTATGCTTCCAGCATTCGTCGCAGAACTCTAGGCGCTACATCTACCTGTACAGCTTCAGCACAACCAACTCCTGCGTTTGCGCGGCGGTTATCTGCGGCGTAAATGTGATGAAATTAGGCAAGTACTCGTCCTCGCTCAGTTTGTTCATGATGAGGTCTTTGATGTAGACACTCTTCCCAGTGCCTGTCTCTCCATATAAAAGAAACCGTTTGCGATGCTGTATATGTTTTAGAAACAGGCTTTGATACTTGACGGTGTCTATGGTCGGTATTATTATCTGGACTAGGCTGCTGGTTTCCAGCAACTCTTCCTGCCTGGCGGCGTCCGCATATCTCCTCCAAGCACCCCTCCCTCGATAGGTGTAGAAGCAATCATGTATCAATTCGTCCGTTGGAAGGGAGATCAAGCCCTCGACGAGAAACTCTGGCAGCGGGTGTTCCTTCTGCTCGTTCTTCCACAGACTTAAATAAAACGCGTTGAACTTTGCGCAGGAACTGTGATCCAGGGTGCCACCAGCGCCCCAAACCATGGACAGCAACATGGTGGCCTGCAACCACGCCAGAACGAATTGGTCGAAGGTTTTCGGATTCTCCTTGACGGCGTCTTCCATGAACATTTGGAAGAGACTCATCGTTGATACGACCTGATGAATCTGGCCAGCAGTTATAGTCGCGCGACAACTTTTCCGTATGAATTCCAAGCAAGGGTCAATCAGCCATTGGAAGAGTTCCCGGATGTTATCCTCGTAGCCCTCGGTCCACTCTGGGCTTAGATTGTTCAGCCAGGAACGAAAGAACGGATGCCAACCGAGAACTCTAGGCTCTATGTAGATCATCCCGCAGCGTGACACTGTAGCTGGAGACGCGTGCAGAAGGTCCATCGCCTCGAAGATCATCGACATCTCGTTGGACATCTGCATCACCTCGCCGGAAGTCAGGCAGAGCTTCTTGTTGTCGTCCAGGACCGTGTTCAGGTTCTCGATCCACATGGCGTCGACGGGTCCGTCGAAGATGATCCATTTTCTGTCCGTCGTTTCCTCGGTGGAGTAATTTCGAAACGCGACAGCGCATATTCCGTCCGTCCACTCGGAGGACACTGGATCGAAGAATCCATATAATTGTCCCAGAGTGATGGATTTAGGATTGATCGTGAAGTACTTGGTCACGGCTCCGTTTTCATCGCCCCACTGGTGCATCAACGTTAAGGCTTCGGCCAGCGTGTACAGGGCCATCGTCTTCCCGCCGAAGGGCTCTCCGACCAACATGAACCTGACAGAGACGCGATTCTACTTTGAGGATGTTCCGAAAGTACAATCACCCACAGAAGATTAACCCTTAACACTTTATTTAACGGGAGTCTATTTGTAGGCTTTTTAATCGCAGTATTTAGCTATTCGAATTTATTTACTGTGTTGATGGCTGTCTACTTCCAGTGTTCAGTGTTTGGAAACAGACTTTGCTTTCAATGTACGTAGTAACAGTATGGAGAAATTATTGTCAGCCTAGATTGGCATATGCTACTGTAGAAAATTCTTTTTTGAATTAAACACTGTTTCTAAATAGCTCGATAGATAAAGTGTTAACAGTTCAGCATGGAGTCTTTATAAATTAATATAAATATTTTTGTAGTTCGTGTAGATTTGGATGATAAACTTGTAGTATCTCCGTCTACCATACCTAAGAATAGGGAGTCAAACGACAACACGAAACGTAGGGTATGGGATTGGTCGTGCAGGTAAAGTGGTCGACTGTGAATCCGAGGATTGGATTCTACATAGTAGACATGTAGAACTAGTGGCATGAATTTTTACAGAATTTTTGCTATAGTTTAAATAGTCGAAAATGTTACATGACACCAAAGACACCATGTTGACTGTTGTAGGTAACGAAAACCATGTTGACTATTAAGAGTCCTATTAACCCTTTCGATACGGAGGAGCTGGCCGCGTTTATACATTTGTGCCATAAGGAAGTTTCCCAAAATAGTGGTTGCGCCGTGGCGTAAGCCACGAAAACACCTATAGCAACATTCATAGAAATCTTGAGCGTGATTGACAGTAATCACTAAACTGCGGATATTTATGCTTATCTTTATATCTTATTTATAGGAAATTTAAATGTGCAAGAAACTACAAAATGCAAACAATATGCAAGAATATAAAGAATGTAGAGTTCATGTTATAATATTTGCAGAATAAAATAAATTCCTATTTAGGTTCAATTCTTTTTAGGCTGAATATTTTATTTTGCATAAAGATTCGCAGTCTAGTAATCACACTCGTTTCGTGCTTGTCGTCTATACGCGGTAGTAGAACCGAAAGGGTTAAGACACAGAGGAAAGAAACAAGTATTAGGTAGACCGAAAAGTAATGTCGTTTCTTTTACATTAAATTCAAACTTTTCAATTTTCTATCTTTAATTCATTATATAATCGCCCTTATTGTCAGCAGCCTTTTGTCACCTAGTGTGCAAATTTTCAATGCCAGAAAAATCAATAAGCTGATAAATGATAAACAAATATTTAAGATGGCAAAAACGACATTACTCTCCAGTCCACCTAATATTAGCCTGTCCCAAAAGTTTCTTTCGCTTTATTAACACGTTCACTGCCAGGCTAAAACTCTTGAAAATTTCTACCGTGTTTAAATTTTGTTTACAGACTATTGGAAGCTGCGTAATGAAACATTTATTTTGGTATTTAGTTTTGTAACTTCATCAAAATTCAAGTATTTCATTTAATGTCATTTTCTACGACACATAACTTTCAGAATTAATAGTTTTCGTTTTTCAGCGAAAAGCACTGTTACCCATATATGGGTGACGTGGCGAACAACGTGTTAAATAAGTAATACGTACACAATAGTTTATGTTTTATGTTACATTACTGAATTGTGCACAGTTCATTTTGCTCCGTTACTGTCACATCATGAATATTGTACGAAATTAGATCGTCTATTTATATAAACACGACCACATCAAATAATTGAGTGCAACTAGCGAAAGAAATTTTCGGGACAACCTAATATTTTTGAACGAAAGAACAACGTAATTCTTCCGTCTAACACACCCATGTCGCACGATCATCATTTCAAAGGTCTGTATAATCTTCAGAAGGAAACCGTCGACCGGTTGCAGGTTTCGTTCCGCCGCAACTTGACGAACAGCTCTCAGGAGCACGTCGTAACTAGGTGACGGAAGCTCCAAGCCTGGGAACAAGTCCGAGACGATGCCTTGGAACAATGGAACGTCGTGAGCCAGGAATTTCGGTAGATTCACGTCGATCACTGATCTGAGTAGAAGCACCGACTCGTTCTCGTCGGGGAATTGAAGTTTGATGTTCTGCGCGGCTGTTAAGACAGTTTTCACGGCTCGCATCCCGTAGTCGTAGTGAGACTGCGTGGACAGCTGCTCCGAGCAGAGTTTATAGGTGGTAACGATCTTCGTGGAGAGCTCGCGGCCGGTGGAGAAACCCGACGAATAGAGAAAGATCTCTGCGATCATGGCGTAATCGGGCACCATCATCGCCACCGTTCGAAAGAGAACTTTGAGATTGTCCGGTAACTCTGTGCGACCCGCGTAACCAGGATTCATCGTGATGCAAACGTAGACGGCTGGGTTCAGCGTCAATTCCGTGCCCTCGAACAGGAATGTCTCCATTTTGGCGCGCACCGCTTGGATGATGCAGAGAATCTGTTGCGCTACCACGGACAGCACTTCCAGCTCGATTCTGTTGAACTCGTCGAAGCAGGACCACGCTCCGCACGAGGCGAGACCTTTGAAGAATTTACCCATGTTCTTGTAGTCCAAGCCCTCGGAGCAATTGAACACCACGCATTGCACGGCTATCGCTCGGCTCAAGTCTTTTGTCGTTTCGGTTTTCCCTGTGCCTGCTGGACCCTCTGGTGCTCCGTTCAGGTGCAGAGAGTAAGCTCCAATCAACGTGCGATAGCATCTACGGGTAATGGCATACATGGATCATTTTAGCGATTAATTTTCTTCGTCTTGGGATTTTCAATTACCAGAGACAGGCCTGAACAATGTTTAAGGGGGCATGACATTGTAGAATCATTTAAAAAAGAAGACTCTCGTTTGCATTTCTCGAGAAATATACATTTTGAGAATGTTGAATCAAGAGGTAAAAAATGTTAACACATTATCTACCCAGCTATTTAGAAACAGTGTTTAATTCAAAAAAGAATTTTCTACAGTAGCATATGCCAATCTAGGCTGACAATAATTCCTTCATACGGTTACAAGGTACATCAAAAGCCAAAAAGTTGTTTCCAAAAACTGAACATTGTAAGTAGACAATCATCGACACAGTAAATAAATTCGAAAAGCTAAATACTGGAATTAAAAAGCCTATAAATAGGCTCCTTGTGAATAAAGTGTTAAGAAAAGATTCTCTGGAATTAACAGAGTCACTGTTAATGACTAGGCTGCGGATCTTGATGCAAAGTAAAATTTTTGCAAACGTACCTACAAAAATTGAATCTAAGTAGGAGGTTGTTTTACTCTGAAAATATTATCATGAGAACTTTACTTTTAATATCCTTTTATATCGTTACACACTGTGTGCATTTTGTAGTTTCTCGTACATTCAAGTTTCCTATAAATGCATAAAAATCCGCATAAAAATCCTCTATTGCATATACATTACGTGAATAGTGAATAGAGTTTGTCTGTTTTAATCTTCAATAATACGTAATGGAAACGATACATCTGATGGTTTCTTTAAAAAGAACTACTAAAAATACCTCTTTTTCTGTTTCCGTTGCAGCAACGTGCCCCCTTAAAAGTGCCTTCTACTAGTTACCGTTACAATAATCGTATTATTTCGCTCAGATACCTATCCGTCAGAGGTGTAATGACGAGACGAGAACAATTTCCGATATACTCGTACGCGTACGACACCGTCGTGTATATAATTCTGACGAACACGTCGTCTTCCCAATAATATCGCAGCTGCGCCAACCACTCGAAGTCCATCTCGTTCGTTATTTTATTGTCGATCAAGGACTTGACGACGTCCATGGCGTGCACGTCGAGGGTAATCAGAGCGTTCAACGTGGTACGATTCTGCTTCGAAAGGTGGCCTGGAAGAGGGATCCTATTTAACAACGTTGAACATTTTTTAACCCTTTGCGCTCGGGTGGCGCCTCTAGAGCGACATATCTAATCTAAAAGTGACTTTGTAAACGTACAATTTCAAATTCACTTACATTAGAATACAACTAATTATTAATTGAAATAATAATACATTTAGTCATGAACATTCGTAGATGTTTTTCTTCGAAGTAGAGTTTTTGGTTTCGCAGAAATTAATTATAAAAGTGGACTGGATTTGTTTTTATAGAACAATACCTCGAGCGCAAAGGGTTAACACGTTGATCGCCGGAAATGGGTGACAGGACTTTACATTAAGAAACTAATGATATTGATTCCAAAAGTGAAGAACCACGTGCTATTAAATCGAGATGCTATGAATTCCAAATGCCTTGAATTCGAGATGCCATGAGCTCGAAATGCCATGAATTCGAGATGCCATGAACTCGAAATGCTTCGAACTCAAGATGCCATGAACTCTAGATGCCATGAACTCGAGATGCCATGAACTCGAAATGCTTTGAACTCTAGATGCCATGAACTCGAAATGCTTTGAACTCTAGATGCCATAAGCTCGAGATGCCATGAACTCGAGATGCCATGAATTTGAGATGCCATGAACTCGAAATGCTTTGAACTCTAGATGCCATGAATTCCAAATGCCTTGAACTCGAAATGCTTTGAACTCTAGATGCCATGAACTCGAGATGCCACGAATTAGAATTAACGAAAATAAATTTATACAGTATTTGAGATATTCGGAGATGTGAAACAATTAAATACGACAACGAATGCTAGATAATCTAATCTTCGAAAATCTTGAGACAAAATTTTAATCTCGCACAAAATTTTAAACGAATTTCAATGTAGCAGTCAACGTGTTAAAATTTCAGTGTCCATCGACTCAAGTGCTATAGAAAAATGCCTCGAGCGCAAAGGGTTAATCAAGCCGTGTCTCTACCTCGAACCAGTTCGACCATCTCTAGTATCTGTGACTGCAATTTTTTGTAGAGCGCTTCTATCGTCGACGGGATATGCGTCATCAGAGCGTTTTGAACTTGCATGCTCCAGTAGATTTGGGAAACGCACAGGACGACCATGCCTGGCCATATCCGTACCCATACTACTCGCTGGTTTACTTCGTAGTCCAAGTAACTCATACGAATTTCGTGCCTTATAGAGTTCACCATTTGTTCCTCGACCTGTAACCTTACTCACTTAATCCTGTGTTAACTTTGTTAACTGTCGTTAACTTTATTTTAGTACGCAGTTGTGCGAACCTGAATGAGCCATCGTTCTACGCAGCCTCTCGCCGCAGCTGTTGAGATCGTGTCTTGCATGTTGACTTCTTCGAAGTCCTCGCTAAACATGGAATATATCTCCATTTCAGGGTTGAATCTGCAAAGAAAGGATCGTTGTTTTAAGATGAACGGTTATGCATTATTCGTTTTTCTTATCGTATTTCTTTTCTCACCCTAGTCTATTTATCCCTTCGAACAATTTTCGAAGATGTGGTTGGACACGAAGCGGTTCCTTCGTCTCCGACAGGATCTCGAGCATGTCGTCGTTGCTTAGGAAGAAGAATCTTGGAAAGAAGAGCCTCTTCTTCTCTAAATAATTCAACACTCCGTCGTTAACTTTCTCCATTAATGTGTTGGCTTCCACCATGATTTCTAAGAGGCCCACCTGAAATTATTGATAGATCGAAAGCGGTGTTAACGCATTAACACATTAAGAACGGCACATCTAGAGACTGCGTGTAGGAAACACGAGAAAACTCGTGAGCGGTCCTTAATGTGTTAACTTTGAATGACGCGTGTGTTATCTTGTGCCCAAACCACTTTTACCATATGTATATGTCACCGTAGCATGTACAAGAAAATTTCTCGGCACTCAAACGGTTAATGCCGTATTTTCCGCATGCAGATGAAAATAAACAATGTATCTGGTATCATCAATGTAATAGAGTACAGCTTGTCCAAGCGATAGGAAATTCCGAATTTCCGAATTTCAAATTCGATAGACGTATTTATGGTTTCTACGAGGACCGAAGCTTTCACTTGACCATGGATAGTCAGAACAATCACATCAAATTACAATTAACCCTTTGCATTCGATGCTTTTTTTCTGGTATCTATCAGCAACTCGAGATGCTTTCCTAGCATTCTATTGTCACGAATGCTAAGCTTGGATTAACTTCGAAAATGAGATCCTTAATTTGAGATTTGAGAATCATTATTTTATTAGCACTTCGAGTTCCAAAGAAATTAAACCTAAAGAAAACCTAGTGGCGACTGAGAGTCGCCTCTCGAGTGCAAAGGGTTACTATTTGGTCAATGTCACAGTCAAGGCGCGATAGACGAGGTTCAACCGGAACAGTAGCGCGTACAAGCGCCATAAAGACAGAATGAGAAGCGGTTGAACCATATTTGCATATGCGCATTCTAATCTTTTCATTCGCTTGGCGAACGAGCAATTCTCGGTTCTAGGACTCTTCCGCTTACAGAGCCCGCGGTTTCTCGAACTCGAGGATCCTTGGCAACGCCGTTCATCGCGCTGCGATATATTCGATCCACCTGAACGAACAGAACCTCCTCCTCGGGCAATTGCGCCACGATATCCTTGCTCGAGAAGATGGGCAGCAGGTAAATCCACTGTACTTGTACCTAACATAAACAACGACTAAGATTTTCACGGTCGCTCGGCGAACCGATCGTAACTCGGCTGGCTCGATTACAAAAGTCATAGTACACATAAGCGAAAAGTACGATGATTTTTTTAAGTACTTTGGTCCATTCCTCGATCGTCGATTGTATTCGAAGTAAGAGAGAGTAAAAATTTTTAACTTCCTCCTCGATTAGCTTGACGAACGCGGAGCCACGCATCGCTTGGACTTTGACGATGTGATCCTCTAAGAGGCCTTGAATATCGTCCAATTGCGCCAAGATGTTCACTCCGGTGTCTTTGTACAGGACAGTGGTGAACAACACGCCGTCCCACTCGCTGATCATCTTTGCCAGAGACTCCTCGAGCATCTGTTCCTTCGTTGCGCTTGTGCTTATCATCTCGTACCTTGAACAAACACAGAACTGAATCCATCGTGATGTTATACGTGATTAAGAAGAGTTCGTTTCTTTTTGCCCTAGTACGGAACGTTTGTTACTTTTCCAAATTTTCCATCAGGTCCATGTTTATGATTTTTCGAAAGGTTGTTCCAGCGTCGGGGGTGAGGTCGAATCCAGCTATAGACGACATGTCGTCCCAATGGATTTGTCTCAGCGCGGGATTTCGGAAAACGGTCAGCAACGGTATATACGACTGTGACGAGATAACGATAACGGGTGAGGAAATAATGTCCTGATCGAAAGATCGTCTGTGTCGAAGGGTGGACACGTCGATTGGTTGTATATAAACGGTAAATAAAATACAGATAATTTCATTTTCCTTTCCACGAGCTGGTTTTCCTCTTTTCGACTCATTCGTTTGTTATTATTCGCGAAAACGCGATAGTGATTCTCTGCTCTATGTTTTTTCAGTATGCAATTATCCATTATTCTTTATGAATGAAAAAGCTTTCAGGCTTTTATGGGACATATCATTCGATTGTTTTCAAACAGTATCAGAGTTGCAAGTAGACTGTAGATCTTTACGGAAAATAAAATCTTTGCAAACGTAGAAATTGAACCTAAATAGGAATTTATTTTACTCTGCGAGTGTTATGATATGAATTTCACTCTCAATACTTTTTTTATATTCTTGCACATTCAAATTTCTCGTAAATGCATAAAAATCCGCAGTCTAGTCACGAGATGTAAGAAACTTTTCTAAATCAGTGGTTTCCTCGTATCAGCGTTCTGGTGTTTCCATTATTTATACGAATACAGTGGACGTGTTCATCTCTAGTTCATGTAGAAAGAATCACCTTAAACCATTTAATGTCCTCGATGAGTTGGTAACTTAGTTTCAGAGGCGCAGGCTGTTGAAGCGGATCAGGATCATCTGGCGATCCTATGAAACTAAACAATATACGTGTCCATTAATTTTTACCATTTAGCCCTTTGTACTCGAGGGGTGACTCAGTTATCACTAGGTTTTCTTTAGGTTTAATTTCTTTGGAGCTCGAAGTTAATAATAACTAGACTGCGGATCTTTATGCATTTATAGGAAATTTGAATGTGCAAGAACCTACAAAATGCACACAATATGCAAGAATATTAAAAAGATTGAAAGTAAAGTTCATGTTGCAATATTTGCAAAATAAAATAAATTCTTATTTAGGTTCAATATTTGTAGGCATGTCCGGGAAGATTTTATTTTGCATAAAGATCGGCAGTCTAATAATAACTTATCAATGAAATGATTGTCGTTGAGGCAAAGGTGACCTGATTCTCAAATC